GAAGCTGTCGAAGTTGAAGACAAGAAGAAAGGGCGGCGGCTGGTAAAATACCGGCCCTTATCAAACCACACAATCTTTCCGTGGACGCTACCGCCTGCGTCAATCGGAGACAACGGCACATGCTCAGCACCTCTCGAGCGTGTGATAACCTGGATCGAGTTCCCAACTACGGATGCCTTCAGCTCTGTCGTGTCTCGTCTCGGGAACTCGATTGTTCGATTAAGCAACCAAGGCCCGACGGTCAAAAACCTGGAAGGCATGCGACTCCAGCTGATTCGAGAAGAGGAAGAAACCACCGGAAACCACGTATGGAGGATAGCACAGGTCGGCGTGACGCAACTGGGACGCGACGAGTCCGTCTTCTTCCACGCAGAGCACGTCCGCCACCTCAAAGACGACGCCTTCACCGTCCTCCGACGGACCAACGTGGTCGACATCGAGCTGATAGTCGACGGCCGCGAGGCCGAGAACGCCAGCATAGCCGTCCCCGACGGGGACGGCATCGACACGCAGCCCAACCCGGCAAGCAGCCGCCGCCTCGCCGAGTCGGCCCTGGCCTCGGACTCGCTCATCAAGTCCCTCTTCCGCTCCCTCTCCTCCGTCTTCGAGCCAGCCCACACCGGCGCCCCAAAACTCCCCAACCTCGGAGCCGCGGGCGACTCCCTCGTCTACACCTTCTCCGCCTACACCCCCGTCGGCCGCGGCGCCTTCCCCGTCCCCTCCGTCGTCGACACGCCCGTCGTCAACGGGCCCAACTTCAACGCCAACGACCCCTTGGCCAACTTCCCCTGGCGCACCGTCTTCCTCGCCGGCCACGCCTGCGACGGCCCGCTCCCGGACCACGTGGCCCGCCAGCACACCGTCATCGTCATGCGCCGCGGCCGCTGCACCTTCAGCGCCAAGGTCGACAACATCCCCTCGTACACGCCCACGTCCACCTCCCTGCAGCTCCTCATCGTCGTCGACGAGGACGAGTACGCCGAGCCCTCGCGGCCGTCCCTCGAGACGGAGCAGCTCACGCCAAAGGGCATCAAGCGCCTCCACGGGGTGCCCATGGTCCTGCTGAGCGGGGCCCCGGGCGACTACAGCCTCTTCTCCAAGGCCAAGGGTGTGGGGATGCGCAGGAAGTACGTCGTGCAGAGCCAGGGGCTTCCGGTCGAGAACGCCGTCATATTATAGTTAAAGCGATGGTTTTTACATGGATTTGAAGCGATGCATAGTATATACACGAAAGTAACGATATCCTCCCATATGATAGAGTGATGGGCACATCATAAACAAGAAATTAGCTCACACATTAAATTTGTATTATTTATGGTCAACATCTCCCATATTGGATAATTTAAAAATTGACCTCTATCTAGCCTGTTGCGAACGAAAACCGGAGATTACTTTGCGTGTTGTTATGCTAAAAAAATCCATCACGAAAAAAAAAAATGTTGAAATTTAGGATCCCTGTCCCCCACAATAACTGGTTCCATTATGGTCGTCCGTGTCGGAATGCGGAAGACATGGGATATAAACCTCAACATGCCACCCTTGCTCACTTGCGCTCCTGTCTATAGAAAATACAAAACACTTCCAGCCCAACTTTTGTATATTTGGTTCAACCTGAAACGCCTGAGAAATCCAGAAGTATGGTTGTTGAGTTTCGATATTGAAAAAAAAAGAGAAATAGGAGAATGTAGGGCCAAGTGATATTAGAGACGGGTGTGGGACCTTCTCCAGTCTGCGCAAATATTGGAGTGGAGCGTCAAAGAATTCGGTTGCCTGGCTCTAAGCATCCTCCAAGAGAATCTCGACGGGAGCATCTCCGAGCTTGTCGCGACCATTCAGACCAGGGATCTGGAGGATGAATAGGAAACCAAGGACCTCGCCTTTCAGCTGCTTGACCAGATCGTGGGCAGCCTTGGCTGAACCACCTGTAGATATAAGAGTCAATATTCATTCTTCCTGCTGTAACATGGGAAATTTAATGGGCTCAATAGAAGCTGAACACCAAGTCTGCACTTACCAGTGGCAATGATATCGTCGACAATCAGAACCTTCTGACCTGGCTTAATGGCATCCTCCTGCATCTGGAAGAGATCCTTGCCGTATTCTTTGACGTACTCGGCTGTGACACAAGGGCCGGGGAGCTTGCCCTTCTTGCGAACAGCAGCGAAGCTAACACCGAGCTTCAGTGCAAGGCCGGGGCCGAAGAGAAAGCCACGGGCGTCAAGGCCGACGATAACATCTGGTCGGCCTCCTTTGAAGGACTCGGAAATCTGGAGTTCGAGGGCAGAGACGAGGGCGGCGTGGGCTGTCGGGTTGGCGAAGAGGGGCATGATATCGACAAAGTCAATGCCGGGGATGGGGAAGTCAGGGAAGGAGCGCAGGTTCCGACGCAGCTCTACCTTCCAACTGGTGAGTTGGGCGGAGGGGGCGGAGGCGGAGGAGGGCTGTCGTCCCGAGGCATCTTGTTGAGAGGTGTTGAGTGTATTGTTGGAATCTGAGCCGCCGGTCGAGGAGGCAGGGTTCTGATGACCCTGAGCGGACATTGTGAGGAGGGAGAGGAAGTAGGAGGAGGGAGGAGGGAAAGGAGAAGGAGGGGGAGGGAGAGGAAAATATTACAGGCGACGGGAAGAGTGGAAGCGACCTGACGCGGACTGGAGCGAGCGCCGTGCAGCAGGCCGGCAAGAGGTGACCTGACAGGGTACCGCAGGTTACAGCAGGAGCGCAAGCACAGGCAGGGCAGGTACGAGCAAGATAACGGTGTGTTTCCAGTACAATTATGGGTTGCGCTTGCCCTGTGCTGAGGTGCGGTTTTGGCCTGTTCTGGTGGCAGGTAGGCGCAAGTGGGAGTGGCCAGGCAGGAACGATGGTGGTGCTGGTGCTTGTACCGTCCCTCGTCTAGATGGAGGGGCAGCTACCTCTGCACGTAAGGCAGGTACATTAGGCCCGGTTGGGTAGGCCTGGCTGGAGTTGGAGTGGGCACTCGGGAATCGGAGGGAGGGGCTTGGTGGAGGAGGAGCCGTGCAGGGAAAAGGGAAAAAAATCAACCCGCGAGCCTTCCTGCCCAGCGTTGTCACAGACTCCTCTTAGCCGTAGGCAGGTATCGGATCACGCCAGCGCACGAGCGGGTTAGACGGCTCTCTGTTGAGTAAACGGGCAGGCGGTGAAGTTGCACTATAATATTATCTCACCATACCGGCGCGGATTGACAAGCTCAGATGTTAGAATGACCTGTAAAAGGGTCTTCGGCTGGTGCTCTACCCGGAGGCGAGCAAATAGCAAATCGCGTCCCGCGGAGGGGCCAGGTGGGCTAGCAGCTGGATCTCGACTGGGAAGTAATTTATTAGGTACATTTCGCAGCTTCTTCTCTTGATCACTGAAGCCACACTGTTTCGGACCCCACCAGCAGGCCATCGACTCTGGCCGCGCGCCACAACAATCAGCGGTGTTTCGAGCGTCTGCCGATGTATGATACATACATTCGGTGCAAGGGCCAGTAAGGACGGAGCAGGTATGCAAAAGAGGACCGACCACCAGATGCCCCACTGCCGTGCTGTTGCCTGTCATGTCTCAGGTACTGTGGGTTGTGAAAACGTGAATCATCCATTTGTCTTCCTACAGTAGCTCAGCGTTCGCTTGGGCACAGCGTACCGGCTGGCCATGGCAAGCGGCCAAGGACTGGCTGACTGGTGTGGTGCACAAGCAAGCACTAGCCTGGTCTCCGTCCGGCCTTGCTGATGTACATAAGAGTACGATTCAGGTACCGGCTACTGAGTTGCTAACAGCTCGTTTGCCCTTCTCAGGTATTGCGTTGCTTGGTTGCTGGCAAACCGACGCGGGTTGTTGTGTTGTTGGTTCACTTAGACTCTGGCCGGTTTGTTTGGCCGTGACGTCTCGGCTAGGAATCACGACATTGTGTAGACATGGATATCTATGCATGTCCCGAGCCATGCAAAACTATTGCCTCTGGCTATACATGCTCAGCCGGCGGGCTTTTCTCACCCTCGAGTGATGGGCCTTGATAGCTGGCTTCGTGTACTTGATACGACGCATTCAGACATGGCTCCGTCACAGATTCGCAAAGATGCAGCGGCATGGCACAAGTGAAAAGCCAAGCTCCAGGATGGTGTGGAGGCTGATGCGCGGAGCGTCGATACATGACAAACTGCTTCTCGGGTCACTCTGCTCTTGTGGCACCGCTTGTATTGGGTACGTGCTCGGTGACAGGCTGGGCCGGGGACCACATTCCTTCCAAAGAGCTTCCTCGGGCGTAACCAACGGGTCTTCTAGAATCCTGTTTCTCTTCCGCTGAGAGCTGCCCAACGGCAGCCAAGAACGAGCAGGGAACCCGTTGCACATTGCCTGATCATCAACCGTCGCTCTGAGGTTTATTGCCTCGGGTCGTCTTAGCGGGAGAGATAAGGCAAGGCTGCTTACTTGCAACATCTCTCCCATGTTTTTCTAGCCCTCTTGGGCCACCAGCCAACCCACTGTAATATCCACTGGTTGGAGCCTTCTTGGTGCGTGCTTCTGCGTGCTCCAAGCGCCCAATACTTGATACCTAATCGCAATGGCAATATGCCTGCGACTGGCGGCATCCACAGCCGTGTCTAGAGATTGCACCATTCAGCCCGCTTCCCGTGCCATGCTTGCGAAAGCCCCCGAATCATGTCGAGCTCGACTGCCCGTCACATAACACATCGCATCCTCTCCTCATCACCAGCTCAGCAAGTGACCACGCCGATAAGCCCCCCAACTCCACCATCTCTGTCTTGCCATCACTACTGGCCCGGAGCACCCCTCCACATCACACGGTTGACTCATCCCGTGCTTCAGCAGGGTGGACATGTGCACATATCGCTTCTCTGATTATTGGCATTCCATTTCAGTACCTGCCTTGGCTAGGAAAATTCTGCTCGCCGCTCTGCCTCTCCTGCCGCCCACCCCCGAGTTGTTGCCGCTGGCTGAGCCGGTCCCTTTTCTTGCGATCAAACTTCCAAGGTAGGCTATATGTACTGTGGAGGCCCGACTAATTGCGGGGCGCCTCTCTGCCTTCCTGCTTGCATGGACTCGACGTGTTTTGACTTTTCGGACATGACTGGGTTTCTTATTTGACAGCCAGAGCCGTGGGAGGCAAGGAAGCCGGCAGTCAGCTGGGAGGACTGGTCGGATTGGGAGTAGGTTGACGGCCTCTGTCCAATCTGAAGCGGAGCACGGCCCGTGGTTGCTTCGAGTTGAGGTGGGTGTATACGAGAGAAGAGAGCAGAGGTGGCATGCCACATACATCCACGCGGAGACATAAACACGTACGTGCGCACATATGACTATTACCTACTTACATGCCTGCCCCAGCCGTTGAGAGAGCGCCATGGCCTGGTTTGTATCATGGATGCACGATGCACTTCGGGAAGAAAGAGACCCGCCACTTATCTCTGCATCATGGGAGTCGCATCATATCCTGTGGGGACGACCCGTGGATGGCAGTTGGTCGACAACTCGCTGATTCCCCTTCACATGTCTCCACGATGCATGCTGGTTCCCGAAGTCGAGTTTAAGCCTGTTGCCAGTCTAGCTGATTCGCTTAGTCGGGGCGGGCAGCTCGGCCTCACCCCCAACATAAGTCAAAGAGGTCCTCACTGACAGGGCCCATTCACCCGTATCGTCCATATCTACACACCTACAGAACAAGTAAACTCAAGCCAAGCTCTCCATAATCTCACTCGATCCATCAACAACAGACAGCTCGTTGCCCGCCTCTGGATGCCCTTCTCCAATAGGGCGGCCCATGCGCCAGCCCCCCTGCCACTGATTTGTCGCAACAACCTGCACGCAGCAAACCATCGTGCGGAGAGGGCTTTCACGCCTTTTCCCGTCCTCCCCTCTTCCTTCCTTTCCTTCGCCCTGCACTCACCGCTGTTTATCCACATCTCTCCACCTCCCTGTGATTTTCGCCGTGACTGGGCTTGCATTAGGGGAACAGCGAACTGTGGATGTACGAGGTGTGGGCACCCGGCTAAAAGATTCGAGCCAGGTCCTTGTCCCCCTGCTCAGCGACTTGCTGCTTTAGATGATTATTGCCTTGGGGCTTGTTTCTCACCTGGGAAATCCTCAATCCACCCATCCATCCCAGCGCTCGACGAGATAATATTGGCCTTGGAAAAGCCGATCGATGTACAGAAGCCTGGTCTGGAGGGGTGGAGGGGTGAAACCTCATTCAAGGGGGATCCCTCCCCCTCCTTCGACGTAATAGTACTACATCCCGCCATGGCTGAGATGGTGCTTGATAGCCAAGCTCTACAGAGGCGGTGATGGTGGGCATCAGCAGTATAATCCATACATGATATATACCAACCATCGTATTTTCCATCATGGACTTGGTCCCAGCAGCGGGCTACGGCAAACCTCCCTGGTCGTCGGGCTCTCAGCTCACCACGCCATGACTGACCACACATACATGCGTAACATTGCATGCCTGGAACTACCTACTTCCGTCTCCCATCTTGCATCTGATGTTGTGCAGGACGGAGCCCAGCCCATCATGCATACCTACCGTAGCATGTCCAGCGGGGACCCGAACCCGGCGGGCGTAAAAACTACTGGAATTTAAATAAGTGACCATTTAGTCTCGGAGTACCTCTTTTAGAAAACCCAGACGACCACAAAAAATCAATAAATAAGCAAGCAAGCTCAGGGATCATGAGTAAGTGTTTATCTAGTGTATGCGACGCAACGCCCGCCATTCTCCTCTTCCGCAACAAAAAAATCGATCTAAGGGGTATCAACGTAACATTTCTCGACATAAAATTTCCTTCCTCTCGCCTTTGGTGTGATCATAAGTAGCATGACGCGGAAACAAGAAGGAGAAAAGAGAAAACAAGGAGAAAACAATCGTAACAATGCAGCAAAAATACACAAATTAAAACCCAAAGAGGCCTTGTCAATCTCGCTATGCTCATGCTCGGAACTGCAATCGAATGATGGAAAACAACATGTTCTGCAAAACGTGAAGGATCACGACCACGCAGGTCGGCAGCAGCTCGGGCCAGACCGCGAGGTCCATCTTGCCTTCGAGACCGACGTCGACCCCAAAGATGACCCTGATGAGGCCTCTAACCACCAAGCTCGCGATCAGCTCACAGCCCCAGGTGACTGTGGACAGGTAAAAGGTACGGTCGAAATCGTAGTCCTCTGATTCATCATCAAATGCAAAATAAGGGTATACGTCCTTGTTTGCTCCATAGTGAAGGACAAGGATGCTGCCGAGGAAGCACGCCATGGAGGCGTTCTCGGCAAGGAAACGGATAAAGACATTACGTGTCTGCAGCTTCTGGTAGGTCCCATAGCTCAGCGTCGACAGACCAAGGATGGTCAGGATTTTGTGGAAGACGGTCGTCATCATGATCGGAGTAATGACAACAAGCCCTGTGGACGAAAAGATCTGCAGCATGATGAACTGGCCGGGCGAGCGAAGTCGAGCGTATAGAGCCCGGACATATGTCTGATATGTCAGCATGAAGTACCTGGTGGTTTTCAGTCAGTCTGTTGTTTCAGATATGCGAGCGATCCCCAATGTGCAACTTACAGCTTGAATACCCAGCTCAGAGGATAGCTTCCAACCCGCTCGCCCTCACGTATACCGAGAACGAATCCTGTCAGGGCGTCCAGGAGGTGAACGGTCACAACCCAGCCGTAGACGTAAACGAGAGTCTCGAAACTATCGTGGGGCAAGGTTCTCAGATAGATCTCGGCGTATGCTTCTCCCAAGACATATGCCATCAGCCCGATATAGAGAGCAACGCAGAACCAAATAAATCGAACGAAGCTTGCCGGTAACCATCGCTGCCTAAAGCTACGTAACCTTGAAACCCTCGACACTCGCACGTCGTCTCCGCCGAATGGATCCGTCGACCTATTGCCACGCCGACGCTCTCTTCTAGAGAGTGTATCCGCATCGTTTGTCCACCAGGAGGCGGTGAATATCCGCTGAGTCTCTGACAGCGAGTTTCGCAGACCAAGATGGCGTTCGTTATTCCGCAGTATCAGGACTGCGATAGTGACTGGCAGAGCCATGATGATAAAAGTCCACGAGATCCAAGAGGTGTTGTGCACAGTCAGAAACCTCGTTTGGTCATAGTAATAGATGGGTATGGGGACCGTCACGGATAAAATAGCAATAAGAGTAAATGTGAGAGGGAACCCGAGAGATTGTGGCCACCTAGGAATGTGTTAGTGCCCTAGCATACATTAAAAGTTCACACTTGGGCTTGCGTACCAGTTCAAGCTGTAGAGGTTGAACACTTTGGTTATCCATATCAGCGCCGTCAGGCTGTAGAGTCCGTAGTAGACAAATATGAAGAACCAGAAGTTGACCTGCACTCGGGCATTTCCGTGACCGGGCGCTTTGCTGTGTACGTCCGAGGGGTTCTGATCGACTTGGCCGGGAGGTAACGGATACTGCGGAAATGGCAACGAACACCACCCAACAGTCTATATTGCAACACAGCAACATCCGGTCAGTCCCATTATCACATTTTGAGGGGATACAGGCCCAAGAACACTAACCAGTATGGCGGGCAAAAACACCAACAGCCCATAACGAGTATACCACTTCTCTGCAATCTTCTTCACAGCTGCCTGCCGCGGATGCACCCACAGATCCACGACCCAACGCTGCCAAAGCCGCTCCAGCCTGGGGATGCCGTCGAGCTCCTCGGTGCTAACATCGTCGTCCTCGTCGTCATCCTGGTGGCCCTCCAAACCAGCGATCACCAGCGCGCCATATCCCACATGCACACTCCCACGCCCACCAGCGACATCAAGGCGGTTAACCTGGCTGGCCGCGAACTGCTGGTCCCGGGGTGGCACGGCGCGGAACCGACCGAGGAGCGGCGACGAGTCGTTGGGACGGACGCGCGACTCGGTGCCCTGTGTGAACTTGAAGTAGGTCGGCATCACAAGACAAAGAGGAGACGCGATGCGCACCCGCGCTACGTCCGAGGCTGGAACCGGTTGACCATGAAGGTGCGTTTTTAGCTTTCGAGGGTTTGTTGGGCAGGGCAACACGCAAGGGGACAGCAACGAGGTGGGCGTTCACAGGCTGGACAGCACTTTTACAGGTTCAAGCTGGATACATGTATGAGCGAAGATCCCGATGGGTCCGTTGGGCTTTCGGGCCGCGAGTCGTCTATCAAAGTCGGTGAGGAGCGGTTGGCAGCGAGGCAAGTTCGGGTCCGGGTATTATCAGTCAACGAACGAAACGGATCGCGGGAAGCAACAATGACGAGAGATTAGCTGGGACCCCTGCTGCCATCATTATCTAAGTGGGGGGCCTGCCCAGCGGACAGCTAATTTCATCCAGCCGGCATTCCACGTTTCAATATCAAGAATAGCCTTTAGCATGTATTGTCTTGAGGAATGCGAGGTGAAGGGGATTAATGTCTTCCGCCAACGACAAGATGAACTATATCTGGCTACGTGCTGCACGATATAACGCCATTGCCGGCGCTGTGCAACCAACGACACGTGCCACCTGAGCCACTGCCTGCCACTCTGACGCTACGCGAAATATTAATACATGAACGCCTCTCTAAATTAGCAGGCTACGCAACGGATCGTTAGATCAAATTTAGGTGGCTTGTTGAGTGCTGCAAAAAAGAACGAAGAAGAAAAACACATGCCATCCTTGTCCCGCCAAGATAGTTTTCGCCCACCGGTCTACCAGAACCTGAAAACACACCAACCCATGATACGCCTTTGACTGAATTACATAAGACCTCCCTTGAGGTCGTCCCAAGAATTACTCGGTTGCTGTCTCTTCACTCCTGTGCGCGCCCGTGCCAGCAAATTCAGTGACAGCCGAGTCAGCTATTGAATCATCAACCCGCTCCAACCACCCAATGCGCTCCGAATGCTCCTAATTCCTCATCACATTGACAAATATAGTGAAGACCTCCAACTCAACCTCCGGTCCGCCGACGACGCGTTCATGTTGAGGGATGGCTGCGACGAGATGTGTTTCGAGAACGTTGGTGCCTGGGTGAAACAGTGCCTCGAAAAACCTTTCTTGGGGTGATTGGTTGTGGAGCGGATGGTGAATGGCCTTCATAGGTTGTTTATTCAGTAGAGTCCAGAGACTGTACTGGCGATCCTGGAGGAATTCCGGAAGCAGGACCGAGAGTGACGCCCGGTGATGAGAATATGGTAAGTTGATGGTGGCGGACTGCTGCATTTCCTTGGGGTGTGGCAGCACAGTCATGGTCAGGTAATTGTCTACAGGCGAGCCCTGGAATGCTTGCAACCGCACTCTCGACAGGAGCGCACTTTCAATGCCTTGGTCATGTTAGCAAAATATTGCTCCCACAAGAGGAGGG